ACCTAACAGTATCATTCCCTAAATGTATGGTCTCCTATAAGTTTATAAAAAAGATGTTCCTCTTCGTTCATTATTTGATATGAAGGATTCATTATACCAAGGGACTGGAAACTGACTAACTAAAATTCTTCAGCCAGTGGAAAATCAGATCAGTAGTTCTACACACTTAATTCATTCGACTACGTTAATTCTATAAGCTGTATCAACTTATGTGAAAATTGTATGTTATATCCGGACTTCATGTCACTCTTCACAGATATCCGTTTTAATGAAAGATTTGCTTTTAATGTGATTGCATTTAGAGTAACAATCAGAAATCCAAAATATTTTTTGAAAGGAATCATCTTTACGATGCATATTTAATGTGTAATCTAAATTTAATAATAAACCTTACAGACAGAATGACAAAATAATGATGGTTTCACCATTGGATCTTATATTAGCTGATTGTTTCACAGTTAGTCCTCAGAACACTACACTCGTTGATCGACCAGTTCCATTTGCATAAAAGATACATATATGACACTTTCATCCGTGATAAGAAAAGTAACCTTAAAGCCATACTGCAGAAGTTTGATGAATGTCATAAGTTAGTAAAATTTAGGATTGATTAAGTAAAGCACTGAACAAAACCTTTTCCATCCAACTCTAGATTGTTCCTTCCAGTCCAGCATTGGCTACAGTGTGTAAAGGACAAACTAATGCTGCATCTTCCATTTCACCTCCTCCTGGGAAGGTGGTTAAACAGACAAAAAACATGTTTTATCCTAATACAACCTCAAACACTATCCTGAATGGCTCTCGAGAGAGAGCAGATCGAACAGTTGCTTGAACATCTGGTTAATTCTACGTATCTAATGACTCTGTTTAACCAGAAACGTACATCGAAGTCATTCATATAGAGTAAAATCAAACATTTCGAAGAAAGTGTGAAATCGGAATCCTTAGTAATCCCTCAGTTCAAGCTTGATCTATATTGAAAAGAGTTGCGTCTAATCTCTAAGTTGGTTTTGATGATAATATTCGGATGACTACTAGCCTACTTATCATGCCTCTTTATGAAATCATCCTATAGTTCGAGAAATAATTAACTAATACATTCTGAAATAGATTTTTTATGAGCTTGTATTGTCGAATATGATCACATTTTAATCCTAGAAATCATGTTTGGTAAATTTATGCTTACCCTTCAAGATGAACAACTCCCGAAAATGATTCGTGCAAAAATGTTTCTTCAATGATTACTTATCTTTTGTCAATCTAAATTTCACTGAGAGACGATCAAATAGTATATAACGGTTTCAGTAAGAATAGGAATGGTTTGAAAACACTGAGGGTAAACTCAAAGAAATTAAGCCAACCGGTTATGATCAGCCAAAAGCAAAGCTGAAGAAATGTAGAGCAAACTTTTAGAAATAAGACAAAAGACAAAACAAAGTCAGTAACATATGAGTTAAGTTATTCTTCAACCAGTGATGCAAACACGACGTGAATGAAAACTAAGCAGTAAAATTTAACAACTGAAATACTGAGATGCCATTAATTAATAACGAACGTCAATAATTCACGTGTTCATCGAAGTGATTATTACTTTAAAGGTGATCAATCTACCAACCTACTGTACTACACCAAGTGCAAGTCAAGCAAACAGATAACAATGCATTTGAACATTTTGAACACAAGACAGGCGATTCTTTGTCGAAGCAAATGGAATCATCTATGTACACGCTCAGCACAGATGTCAACGAATTTAAAAGCGGTAATGGTTCAGGCTTAAATCTGAACCAGATAAATACATGTCAACTTTGTTATTTTTAAAAGTGATAAGTAAAAAAGCTTTGCGAGGTAGCAGGGATGTTATAATTAACCCAACTAATATGACTGCAGTAAGGGATGATGGAATATGAAATGAGTAGTATGTAGAATATGTTGAAAGTCAGGCATCGAAGGTTAAGAAACCTTTGAAACACAAAAGTTTGCTTAGATTTAGCAGAAAAATGAATTGGTCCAGTATTTTATCGACTATTATATTATTTCAAACTATGAAGTAAGTCCCTTAAACGCAAATAAAGTTTCCAGTTATTAGCGTTGAACACACACAAAGGTTTTTGAAAATATCAAAGATTTACAAAAACAACTGCTATAAATTTCTAAAACTAGAAATGAAAACACTATTATTTACACACATTATACTTTTCTATGAAAGAAGAAACACTTTAGCAAACAAATTCGTTTTTCGTGATGTTATCTTCAGGAACTGTTTAATCGCAATTAAACAATCATAATTTGTTTTTGTAGAAACGATAGGCAGCTTTTAAAAAGTTGTGTATTGTTCATGAGCGAATTACTGAAAATGGAAGTATGTTGACTTGATGCTCACTGAGTCAATGTGAAAACCGTTTGTCAGTGGAAGTACCACTTAATAAATTTCCTACAGCCTCAGTCATTAGATTATTCGTTGATAAAGTAAGCAGAGTGTAAAAACAAATTTGTCGACATAAAAGTAAAACTTGAACACTGTCGAATAGAAAAAATCAAAATTCATTTGAAAACCTTGTGCATATTAGTGCAGTAGGCAATGATTTACACCTATGGTAAGAAGGCTAATATTACTACTTGGCTGCCCAAACCACAGTAGGTGAAGCTGGGTTCAAACCCACGACCAACTGGTTGGAAATCAACTGTCTAGACGAATGGGCACTGTGTTAGAACCAAGATAACTATGGGCAATAAATTGTGTTTGAAACGTACATCCAGTAAATAATACTGTTTCCCCGTGTGATACATCCAATAAATCAACTGAAAAGAAAAACAAATCCAATCTACTAATTGATATGAAAAGCATGGCCAATAGGAATGTGGGTTGGAATACGGTTATTAGGAATGTATACAGTGAAATGTTATCCAGGTTGAAAAGTACGCACCAAGCTCACAAGGATTATAAGCACTGTTCCTGAAGCCTACTTCATCGCAAATGACAATAAATGGTTAAAAAATAGGCAGACATCATATAGTGAGTTTACAAAACTGAACAATTCAAACCGATTCTATAAACCCTAGAAAACGGCGATGCATTTTATTTACTGACGAGTGTAATAAGGTATACAAGCTACAGTAATCAATTAATTGTCCATTAAGTCCATCGGATAAAGTAAAAGATGTAACAGATAATAATTTGTGATTATAAGGTAAGAAAATTTTCAAAATCAATAGCCAAGAATATATTCATAATGAACATTATTAGATATAAGTAAAATGGCTAGATTATTAAACGTGACAGTTAAACAAAAGTCATTATGTGATATGTTAACCAAAGTAATAATTATCTAAACTAAGTAAATATGAAATGTTCTAATTAATCATTGCACTTAGTGAACTGACACTCGTTGACATTCAATAGAAAGAAAGAAAGAAACAGAAATAAAAATTGAAGGTGAGATGAAAATTTAGACCACGGTCGGACTCGAACCGGCGACCACCGGAGTTACTAGCCCAATGCTCTACTAACTGAAGCCCAGTATAAAATACAAGTCTGCCAAACTATAGCTATCTCAGACAGTCAAATAATAAAAATAAAAATACACAAGGTTTTTGGTTACTGCTGATTAGATAACATCATAGTTATATTTTTGAAGTTAGTCTGAGACAAACATTTTATAACCAAGTCATAAGGTACGTATCATAGTTGATACGGATACATAGAAGCGCTAAATTTAAAATTTTTGTGCATATAAGATACTTTACAACACCTAATAATGTTAATAAATGATCTACCTTCATTATGAAATGCTAATTATGAAATTCAAGATAATAACGGTAAATTAATTTGAAATTCTCTACAGTCATTTTATTTACACATCTTTGACTGTTAGTAAAGCTATATATTGGATGAAGTAGGCTATCTGATTGGAGTTTACAAAGCAACAAAAACAGATTATAGACTTTGGGTGAAATTTTTTCCATTTGTACAATTACATCTGAAAAAAGATGGTTTTCCGATTCAAGTAATGTTAGCTCAAGGTAATCAATCAGTTAGATTATCATAATATGAAACCCAGTAGTACTGCGCAATACTCCAAGTTACCATAACCTCAATACAAGTCGATAATTATACACGGCAAAGAATAATAAGAAAAGAAAAAGAATACAGCAGGGTGAATGACGCATACAGTTTCTACAACCATCTCATTTCCACCAATTAAAAGATTCCTTGCATAGAGCTTAAAACATCTTCAACAGATCAGAACATGAAAGTGTGCGGAATTGCAAATGAAAAAATTATATCTTACAGAAACCGAAACAATACGAACTTTTCAGCTAATAGTTATCTTGGATTTTTGATTCCACTAATACCTACATGTTCGGTGTAAAATAACTCTCAACAAAAATGATAGCAGTTGTAATTTAGCAACGGCTACGATTCTCACTAATCAGATGCAGAAAACACAATTAAAGAGTGGAAAGGTGATCAAGTAAACCTAAAAACCATGAGTATAAGAATTGTGTCTCACTGGCTTGGGTGGACAATTTTCAATCAATGAGTTACAGATTTGAACCTCACTTCACCTACCAAGGTTTGGGCACCTAGTTAGTATTTATTAGTCATCATACAATAGGTGTGGCTCATTGCCTAATGCATGAATATGTACGTGGTTGTTGTAAGTCAAAGTTACTTATTACAACTCACCCCGGTACAGGTGTTTAGTACTAAGCTATGAACTACACTAATTGTGTGACAGCTTACGATGTTATCTGGTTACTCAATTTGAACTAGAAACATCCTCTAGTAGTGGTCTTCCTAACCGAAATACTTTAAGCTATCTATAAACTGATGCCATTCATGCAGTTCAGTACATAGCCTTCCACGGTGTGGGCAGCCGGGAAGTGTCAACCGCCTCACAACTCTGTCAGCACCCAAGTTTCTTCTGACATATCAAAGACATATACGATACGTAAATGTACACATAATACAAGAGCGAACAAATATGTAATGAACTCACCGATAAAAGCGTTTGGAATCGTTATTTTTAGCCATGTTCGATCATGTATCTCTAAACCAGAATCAGACATTAGCATGTCATGAACTACAGAAGCCATGTCCGAAGCTACAGTCAATGAAGTTGATGATTTTCCATTTGCACCAGATAAAAGTGACTGAGTACCCTTTGCATCGACAGTTGTTTCGTCTCCCGACCGGGAACCATTAGTCTTGGCACTTCCTGGCCCACCAACAACTCCACTACTTGCAGGACCTCTATTACGATATCCACTAGCTAGAACATCCCCACCATCAGCTACTTCAGGTAGTGATTTAGTAGTCATGTTAGAGGAAGGAACGGTGTGAAGCCCAGCCAATGAAGGTAACAGTAGCTGGGACATTCCAGGAGGCATTGATGGTACGGATAATCCAGACGATGGAGCCATACCCATAAAATGTCCTGATATTGCAAAAAAAAAAAAAAACAGTGAACATATGAAGCTGCAGATATCAAATCATTTGAGAAATTTTATCACAGCCTCAATGTAAACAAATTATTAATAAGTTGAGAAAGCTATAAAACGGCTACACCTAAATAAATCAATTTAAAAGATGCATACTATCAAATCATAGAATTTGAATACAGCAACAGAAAGTAAACATTTTATGCACAACAATGATGAGTTAAAACGATATATTCTGACTTTAACAAAGCTATCCGTAGAGTAATGGATAAACAGTTTAGTAGCTAACAACAACAATTACCAGGAATCATGGGCATTCCAATTGCAGGCGATCCAGTACCAACAAAAGGTACAGTCCCTTCAAGACCTGGTGTTCCTAGTGCACCAGTCATTGCATTGGTGTGCAAAACCCAAGCTCGAGGATCGATTGGACGGACTGGTTCCTGACGAGGGATTGTGAAGTAGTTTTTTGGAGTGGGATCCCAACATTTCGCCACCACTAAAGTGATGGGACTGTTCAATCAGCAAAAAGGGATAGAAATAAATAAAAAATGACAAAAAAATAAATAACAATGAAATGAGTAATTATAACAAAGATATAATAATAATTTTCTGGTGGATATTTGTCTGAAAGATCCACAACTTCTTCAGAATAAAGTTGATAAAAAATTGCAATCCAAAGACTTGATTATCCTAAATCTGCTTGACAAATATAATAAAACCTTGTACATTTTATCCAGTCTATCAGGTAAATAATGTGTTAGTTATACATGTGCCTAATAAAATACACAACCATACCTAAGTACAAAAAAGTTGAGTGATGGACAATTTCTACCCTTCTAAGTTGATTAGCGATGCTTCATTATAGTAATTATTATTACTTTCACTTGTCCTATGGGTTCCTCCTAGTGGAACATAGGGCTTAAGTAGAACATCGCCATTTCATTTTCTGTCTTTTTAACCTAGCTTCAAAACTGCCCAGAACATTTCATTTCTTCCTCACACCATCTTCTCCATGTCACCCTCGCCTAGGATGCCCAAATAGTCGTTTCCCTTTTAGCTTCCACTCCACGGTCTGGCCTGGTGCGTGATGTCCCCAAACCGTCTTCTCAGTGTATGCCCAATCCATCTCCTATTTCTTCTACACAATTATTGGGATATGTTCTCGGATGCTTCGTTCCGAGAGTTCCTTGCTGCCCATTTTTTCTGGTCATCTCATCGATCTTCACTATCCAATGGACGTTGGCGGCAACTGTTGTTCGATCCCTTACCAGATTTTGGATACACACTAATAATTACTGAAGTAAAACAAAACAGCTGTCTAGTGCTCCAAGGCCATCAGTGATTATCCAAATGCTAACAGCCAACGATGAGAAGTACTTAGCAATCAACAAACACCTCCAAATACCACATATCCTAATATTATATTATTAGAACACAGACATGGTACAGAAGATGACCAAAATATGCACCACACAAAATAATGTGACATTATAAAGACGTAAAGCCAAGAGAATGGGTTAAAGAGAAAAACAACAAAAATAGAATGTTTAGAAAGGCAGTCCAATAAGATACATTCAAAACAAAACATTCATTACTTTTCAGAAACAGAAAACAGAAGGAAGCTACAGCATGACCGCCACCGCTTTCCATTCCGAGCTATTTCTGATCACGTCTCAACCAATAAGTTGCATGATCTCTCCAATCCCACTCAGGGAGTCATGATGCTCCAACAGATGCTAACCCGTTACAGCTAACCTTCATCCCACAGTACCACATCATACAATGACCTCTCTTCCCACTTCCGCTTCTTCAATCCAGTTCAAGGCCCAACTCAGAGCTAGCAAACAGTGATGGTATGGAAGCCATTAGGACGACATGCATAATACATGTCCAAACCATCGAAGCTGGTATTTCTAGATGACCTTATTTATTGCATGACGGTCTCTATCATGCCGAAACACTCTGTTGTATCAGAATTACTTACATGGTGTTACCGTCGGATAAGACCAATCCTATAGAGATAACGATGGTTGAACACACAGAGTCGCTGTACATCCTCAGTTGTCGATGGAGATCCAGTCGAGTAATACAGCTTCGACTCGAGTGCTAAGTGCGACATCGACACGAGCGAGACCGGTTGTCGGTGCTGCGGGGTTCCTAGACAATCGCACATGAAACATACTTTCGAGCTGACAGATGAAGAACCTATTCGAAGTACTCCACTGAGATCTTGTTTGCGGTCTCCGAGATGCGGCATACATCAATAGTAAGGCTTTCCAGAGTCGTAGCCAAACCTGTCTGTTGTCGCCATTATGCATCAAGGTGCGAACGTTGAGGGTGGCGAGCTTAAATGGTACGCGTGTGGTTTAAGGATAGCTGTGTCAGATGTCGCACTGTGGGACAGCTTTATGAGGAGATCTGTTTAGCGACTCAAGACGGTGCAGACAGAACAGGAGTTTAAGCAATGGAGAGCAACTGAGTGAGGTGAAGGTGAGGACAAAAGCGAAAATGCTAATCATAAAAAAGATGCAGTTCGTTTGTAAAAATAACAAAAACAGTATAGTGGAAATCAATTGAACAATCGGTTATAGAGTTCGTAATATGGAGAGCTCGAGTATTTGTAAGATAACTGGTTAGATGCTTCGAAGTCTTTCTTGCAAATCATTATCCAGTATATAATACTGTACTACTGTGTGCTATATTAGATAAACAGTCCAATATGCGAAGCGCCAAATTTAACGGTGTCATGAAGCTTCCGAGTGGACTACAGATTCATATTTCATAATAAATATTGTTGTAACCGTAGGCAGAAGGAATGAGAGCCACTATTAATCAATTTCAAATGTCCTTAATACATCTGCATTCGTTCTCATTCTTTGACATTCTGATTAGGCGTTGTACACTTCCATATATTAAGCTAAATAAAAATAATAGTGTCTTCTGTCGGCTAGTCATCCAAATCCGCCTTCCAATTGACTCAGCTGGTGTGGTGTTAGTGGTCAACTAAAACAAAGCAACTCATAGGATAATGATTAGGATTTGAGATCAGGCGTCTCCTTCAACCCATCAAGTCAAAGACATAACAGTGGCTCCTGGGTTGACTCAGAGATATAACAGATAAACAATAACATATATGGTTACCACTTGTGAAAAATGATATAGTCCCCTAACATTTATCGTTGAGTTCATGAGAAGCCCACCATCATTAGTCGTCATAGATGGTTTGCAAGACAATCACTATAGTTGCATATGACTTGTGAAAAATTTGTTTGTAAAATCAAAAGTGAATACGTATTAATCAAATTAAAAATTACCCAGGTTTTTGAACTTCTTCACGTAGAACTCTTACAGCCTCATCATTATTCATATCTTCAAAACTGATTCTATTTACTTCCAATATCATATCTCCTGGTTCAATTCGACCATCTTGTGCAACAGCTCCACCACGCATAATAGATCCTACATAGATACCACCATCTCCTGCCTTGTTGGATTGACCCACAATACTAATTCCCAAAAATTCACTGAATCCATGTTCAAAGTAACAGTGATTATGTTAAGTGACATAGTGGAATCAGTTACGCTGCTAAAAGAAGTAGCCTATGTAGATTTAAAAAAAGTGTAGTGGACTTACGACCTTAAGAAACTTTTTATCAAAAACAAAAAGAATATGAAGGCAATGAAAGCAAATCGAACACGTATAATCAGCAAAAAAAATAGACCTAACATAAAAAACAAATGTAAATTTTTTCTCAGCGACAGGATTAAGCGTACAATGAACTTCAGAATTCCCTAAGTTAATGCTGGATCCCAGAATAATTTCAGTCGCGATACTATCGATAGAACGAATCATTCAGAATACAAATATCATTCGAGGAAACTGAATCATTATATGATAGGTAACAGTAGAGTTTTAAAGTTGTCTTAGGTATAGTATCGTTGATTGGACCAGTTTTTATTGAGATATAGGATCGTGTGCAGATGTCTCGATATTGCCTGTTTTAATTATAGTAATCATGGATAGTGGCTAGCAGTGGAATCCAGGATGCGCATTTCATCCTATTTGGGACTCGTCAGATGGATGTACCCACCTTTCAGTCAGTGATGTTGTTCCCATCGGAATTCGAACTCGGGGTTGATCCTTCAAACACCAGAGCGTTATCTATTACACCACCGAGCCATGATCCATCTTTACTATCTTAGGTATATTTTCAACGCCTTGCTATTCCACAATGTACACAAAAATTCAACAAGTCAATCAAGCTGTTAATGCACAAAACCAAAAATCTAAGATTATCAAGAAATAAGAAAAATGACCAATTCTACAGTACAAAGTGAGCATCGGTGATTGAGATTTTTCACATTGTTTAGTAGGCCAAGTGACAAATAAAGGTTTATCTAGTACTTTCAAAAATGATTATTATACCTCACAGTCATCATTTCTGGGTGTTTCAAATTCCCTGCAGAAGTATGCACTTCCAATAAAATAAAAGAAATTTATCTATTTAAACCACCTACGCTTTTCTTTCATTTGTGTCTGCTCTGTTCAGTGTATTAGAAACAGTTCCATTACAAGGATTAGAACGTATGAAAGAATGTATAGAAGTCGTGTCTAAGCCACCAAACTATTGTTCTATACACCAATACTGGTGATTATCAAACAAACAGATGCCTTCATGATGAATAACAGCAACAAGTGATAGGGGAAAAACAAACGAAAAGCCAATCATTACACTATGATCATTAAGAATTTTTTTAACTTATTCCAGAAAATTAGACCAATAGAATGAGCACTAAACTATAGATATCATTCTAAACCAATCGGTCGGCCATTATCAGCAGGGGATCCAATCTTATTACGGAATGATCTCTTTAGCACACCAAGATACAGAGTGAGATGTTCGAGCTTCTGACCACAGGTGTCTACATCTGGACATTTTGCTTTACGTAGCAAAACTGATAGCTTTTAATATAATTTACTCTTTGCTTAATTATAATTGTGGTCTGTAGGCATGAAAGTGCAGACTTCAAATAGGTATCAATGAGTATCACTATCTTTTACAGTTCTTACAAGGCCACGTAGCCAAACAAGGCATATTCGGTCGTCAACTGATAACCAGTCAAGCATTGCACTCTCTGTTCTACAACTATGCTTTGCCAACACCATCGAGTTCACATGAGCTAGACACTGACTCTCCAGAAATCCAAAGGATGAATTTTGTAAATTCGTCACATTGATCGAGTGAGTTTGGGTGAATAACCACGTTTTGGTCCTGTATGTAAGTCTTACAAAACGTCCATCGCCAAAGGCACAAGAGTTCTGGATAACGAACGGTAAAGAAATTGAAAGCTTTAATATGTGAGGTGAAGAATACTGGTAGCTCAAAAGGATGGTCTTTTTGTTGAGTTCTCTGACCCGAATGGTTTGGTCGAGAAGCTTTCATTGCATTTCTAGATGGTAGTGTTTTCTAGAAAGACAAGCAAAGCTTTACACATAAACTAACCAAATAAGGAAATGCATTACCAAGCTCCAACATTCAGTTAAGAGAGTGCTTTGGGGGGAACAGGGGGACTATTCCACGAACTCACAGCTAGAAGAAATTAATGATTTATAGTTATGAACCGATAGATGTGAAGGATTAGAAAGCAACGATGTGGAAAATTGAAAAGATTTGATTACTGAGAAAGGTGTGAGAATGAATGATACATATTGGTTGCTCATACCGTTAAAGACTGCTTGTTCTCGAAGTACCTGACAAAAAGTTGAGTATTAAGACTGGTTTTAACAACCTGGGTGAATGACTGCAGGACGTGAAAGGCATCTGCTTGAGACCATTTAGTCATGGATTTTTGGAAAATTTTAATTCCGAAATGATTTTGTTTCGGTTGAGCTGGAAAAGTCTAGAAGAGCCCAGAGTCGATCTTTTCTAATCTCCTCCTCCGATAAGGAAAGAAAGAAAAGTATAGAGTGTTTTCATTCGTAGGGAACACCTAGCTTATTTCACACAATGGACAGCTAGCAAGTATGGACTTTGCTATAAGTCCTCGACCATAGTATAAAAATTGTTTACATTATGACAAGAATTTATCAGAAAAAGAACCTCAGTTTCAAGTGAAGTCAGACTCATGATACCAGGAGTAGGATATCAACAACAATCCTTTTTCAACTTTTCTGACACTGCGGTGAAAAACCGATATGCTGACAGTTTCTCAAATCTAATAGTGTGTTTACGAAGAAATTGAATACACAATCAGGGTCATTCGATTTTCACCAACGCTTACGTTATATTTCGAATGCATTTAGGATATATATAAACCCATCCATCAGTTGATACTGATCAGCATCATCTGAGTTTTTTTTTACAACCTACTGACTTCCCACATAAATACTATGCACTGGTTTATAACTTTTTTCACTCAGTTAGGATATCAATAGTCTAAAATGATGTAGATAAATATACAACTCAATGTCTATATGATTCCTTTGCTATAACAGATATAAAAAGGGTATAGGATACAGAAAGATGTTATATATTTACAAAAGGAGCAAATGAAACATAAGTTACAACAATAGTTTTTAACCAATAGCCCAGTCGAATCAGTCAAACAATAAAGGCAGAAAAAAGTTGATGACCAATTTTGCTACATTCATTTCCATCAAAAACAATTTTTTCCAAGGTAGGTATGACAGAATGGTTGTGTCTGTACATCAGTATAAAGAAACACCAACGCAAATAAGTTTTCTTTAGGCAAGAAAGTTGGGTATGAAAGAGAAATCCTATAAATTTGGTAAGATGAATCACTCGAAAGCTGGACATATTGTTAAGAAACAGACATATGTGAAAAGGCAAATATTATAAGTTATAATACTTTTTCGAATAATCGTTTCTAGACGTATATTTTACTAGTTATATTTATAGAAATGAAATAATACACAAGAAAATACTTGGTGAAGGAACAGGGAATAATTCTCAGAATACAATCGATTAACTTGCAAGAAAAAATATTTTTAATACTAGTGAGCATTATACACCTACATTAAAGCCAATAGGATAGCTCCATAAGTTTTTACTCTAACATTTATAGCTTCTCCCAAGTCTATAACAAATGAACCAGATATGTCAACAACATAAGGGTATTTACTCAACGTGAAAACCTATACGTACTTTACTAGACATCATCCTAATTATTGAACATTGTTGCAAGCAGTAAACGTATAACGAGCTTTATCTCAATTTCAGTTGATCTGCTTACCAAAACACCGCCAGTCTCAGCTTCTTAAAAATATCACCCGAATCCAAGTCAGAATACATGTTAAAATTAAAAATACGTCTAAACACATCTGAAGCGTAGAAGGGAAGCAAAGAACTCATCCCCCGGAAAGTCCTTATATAGCAAAGAGTGGGAAGATTCCTGCCATGCTCTTGAAATGCTCTCATACGACCACCCATTAGTAGCTTCTGTCGGAAAAGTTCTGCTCACTGCCTTCGCTTGGTGAGGAGTGTTTCCGAAAAACTGAAACGGTGAAAGCAAGCACCCGGAGCTGTCACCAGATTGGTGTACACCCATGGCACACCTAAGGGAGTTTTAAAAAGTCCTGATTTTTAAACAGTAGGGTACAGGGGCTTCACAATCTAGAACGAAAGAATGGTGTATGAACCTACTTCAGTCATAGGTAATAATTGGGAAGGAGCATACCACGTTGCTCTGTTGCTTCATGGATCAGACGTCAAGTATAAGGCTCGGAGAGTCTTCTCTTAAGATAAGCACCTGCTTCGATCTCGGCCTTCGGTCAGTATCACAGCAAACGTGCAAATTATGAATCAACACTAACAATGAAGTACACAAAGCGCCTATCACATCGTTTTGTGATAAACTTCCTACTCAATTACTCAGTTTATTAACTTTATATTGTCGCTGTCCTCACATCTAAACTATACTATCCCTTCGAAATCATTTTCAAATTTGCTTACTTTATTTCACTCTGCAAGTCGTCACTGCCTAAAATTCCGGTGTGTGTTAATCGTCTCGGCTCGATAAACAGTATCCTATAAAAAATGTGTCCTTCAGTGTAACATCTAACGCAACTGTTCTAAAACCACGTCCACCAATTAGGCTGGCCATCTTCAACCATTGGCACCTTGGTGTATATTGTGTAATAAACACGTTATCCGACACTTAACTGGAGCTCGAGAACAGCAAACTCGAAAAAACCAGGCAGGTTTCAGACTCGGATAAGGGTGCATCGATCAAATTTTTAGCCATTCGCAGGTTCTGGAACATACTCAGACTTACCAGCGGCCGTCACTTGCTGTATTTCCTGACCTGAAGGCGGTATCGGACTCCATCGATCGAGAAGTGTTGCGGCACTGTATAACTGGGGAAAGAGTACCGAGCAAGCACATAGTGATTATTAAGGGTATCTACTCTAACCCAGGGAACTAATTAAAAGCTAATAAATAGTTGCCATCGGAACTAACGACAACTTATGATATCCGCCAGGGATTGTTATTGTCACCCTTCCTGTCCCACTTCCGTAAAGGTGTATTAGGGCATATGACACTAGGTACAAATGACTTCACATGCACTGATCTACTTTATGGAGGTCAGATCTAGTTAAATTGCAGAAGGCAGATGATATTGTCCTGCTAGATGAAGACGCTAACAAAATGCAGAGTCTACTGGACGCATAGAGCACAAATATGACTATGTCTGGTTGGCATACACTTTGCATCTGTCAAATATAACACGATGCTCTACAAGTGGTCTGGAACCACTCCTAGTTCAAGGATAGGGAGTGACGTCATTGAATGCGCAGATCACTTCACATACTTGGGAAGTTGCATGAGTCACAGTTGCTGACATAATCTCACCTCGGATACAGAAGATCCATTTAGAGGTGTAGATTACCTCACTGGGATCCCTGAGACATCAGGAATCAGTGGTTGAGGACTCTGTGAAATCCAGGGGAATCAGTAACCATGGAGCAGATGTATTCGCTCTTCGATGTCTTCTTAAGCTTAAATTTCTTCACTAACCTCCATTTTTAAATTGCTTCTCTTTCCGTACACCACTATTTACTTTTATGTTAGTTTTTCCCTATCCACATGCTTTTTCCATGCTGCTGTGGAGTGTGGTAAGTTGAATTGATGCACTTGCATGTTAGATGCTACGTTAATTTTGTCTGGCTGTCAGTCTGGAATGAAACCATAGTTGGACTCATCTTCATAAATAATCTGGGTAATAATCGTCAGGGTATCAGTTTGCCACCAGTAGCGTCTGAAATATTGGTTACTATAATACTCTTTAGTCTGTCCAAAAAGAGTGAAAAAGTCATCCACCAAAAGCAGGTTATGGTTGCATTGATCAAACGTTAACCGTCAACTATGTCATCGATGATATTCTCCAGAAAGCTCTGAAAAAGATATGTTGTAGAGGCATTACCAGGAGAAAGTTATTCAAGTCGTAATCAATCAGTTAGCTATCAGTATGTAATGTGCTTCACGCTGTTAATGTACAAAGTGCTTCCAAGAGGTGGGACAGGAGGCTGTACCTTCACTCACCCTTAGGTGTGAGCCACTAGGATTTGTCGAAAAGTGTGGACACGGGTATTGGTTTGAGTGCTGGTGGAAGTGTAACTGATGAGATTTCCAACCGTCCAGCCAGAGTGGCAGATGCTGATTTGGGTCACACTAGAGGCCATTGTAATGGTAACCTTGTTGTAAAAGGTTGGGTATACAAAGCCTTGGTGTGAGTAGTCCTGCTCGACACCTGGGGGACGTGGCCTCTTCTATATGAGAAACCTTAACAATTTTGCATTTTAGACGACCGGTGAATCCAGAAAATTGTTCGCGTGTGGTGGAAACACCAAGTTTGTAATTCTAAGGTGGGGTGGTACATGCTCGGGGGTGATGGAGACCTTCACTCACTGCGTCGTCAACTTGAAACATCCGTTTCGGTGGCTCATATACGTCACTTATGCCATCCCAGCTGCTCACACACGACTCACTGTTTGCTTGCTCTCGGGCTGATTGGAAGAAAGGGAGAGGTGCGCAGTGTATGACATGACACTGTGAGATGAAGGATAGTTGTGTCAGTGTTGGCATCTGTGAGTGCCTCACAACTCCCTGGATGAGGTACCGGAGACAATGTGACTGATTGTCTTGAGACGACAGCAAGTACGACTCAGAATCACAGCCATTAGTGGTTATACTGCAACTTTCTCGTTTCTTCAACTAATGAAAAATAAAACGAAAGTGGTGAGTGCTTCTTTGAATGTATGTTTGAGACTAGTTCTCTAACAAACCATCTCAGTTTTTGCTTATGTTCTTTATTCTATTTTCTGCATTCTCTTAATGTTGTCACATAGTTTTTACGGCGCAATCTCTTAACGCCTACTTATTTGTTTGTGTTCAATAAAATAATCAGCAAAGAACCTCAGTCATGGAAGACTAAACAGTAGACTTTATATTAACAAAATACTCCACTGAGAAACGATCAGAAAACCTACTAGCACGACGAATGAAGTGACAAATTATGCATATTCACAGAATACTTCCTACACTTAAATAAAGTTTTCTTTGTGTATCTTCTCAATTTAGGTGGATTGTTTTGTGCGAAGGATTTTGAGGTGTGCATATGTTACTGACTTTGTGCTGAAAACATTAGCAGACTCTAAGGGATAACCACTGGGTTACAGATGAACTTCAACTCGAGTTAGCCAACAACTGACCTAGAGCTCTGAGAGACGCATTGTGAAATACATCAGTCAACCGGCTTTCAGTTTCCTTGCGATCATTCGGCAAAATACTGAAGTATCGTAGGAATAAAATACTAAGTAAAATTCAAAGTATGAAGAAAGACATCGTTTCACACGCCACCTCACAAGCCACAGGGTAAAATGCGCGCTGATTGAAGCGAGAGTAAGACTTGACTGGAAATGAGATTTCGAAGATAACTTGATTGAAAACCACACTAAGTTCAACCTCAGCATGGAACGTATCTCAACTTCAACTATCATTATTCTGTGTAAAAACTATTTTCGTAAAAATATACCCATCATTATGCTACCCGATCCCCCAAGTGATAGATGAGGCTAAATACATTATTCTTTTCAAGGTACATGCAACCAGTCATTCTATCAATCTGTCTCGATTACCATATTATCTATAAAGTTTCAATTATATACAAAGTTAAAATGATCGATCAGAAAACGTTTAGTAAATCTGCCACCAAAGAGACTAGTTTTAAATGAATGATATATTTACATACTTGAAATGTCAATAAAGATATATCTAAGGTTCAGTTTACATAATGAAAGAAGGTGACAGCTTTTGGTTTGAAGAAAACTTTGCAATATTAGAAAATGATGAGGTGAACAAAAAAACTTGGCATTACTTTTTCAAGTATTCTAGTACACTCATGATTTATGGTTTGCCAAAAGGAATATGTGATGATAAAGTAGTTTTCTAATGAAAAGCACCTTATTTTACACAGCTAATTATTACCATACAGAGTTGATAGATAAAACTAAAGGATCGCTAACTGCAAGCGTGTTTAACTGGTTGCTGTAATGAAGTGGAAATGCCATAAGTTCAAATTACTTTTTTCTTGATACGAATCCTGGTGAACTTTAAAAGTTATCAGAAACTTGAATTATGCATTCTGTATCTCTATATTAACGTTTTAATTTTTTAGGTGAATAGTGATTAAATTTAAGTGTAGGTTTTTAGGTGAGAGAAAGAGATTCTAAGTCTCAATCGACTAAGATGGTCAGACAACATTTTGCTCATGTTTAACAGATGTTTACCTCGATTGATGGATATAGTGAGACTAGTATAAATTAAACATGATCAGGAAACTAAGTGACGTGCCAAAAAGTCTATGGCAAATAGGTTTACCACATCACAGCGGAATTTTGAAGAAAGTAATTTCTAATGATGTAATCAAGAATCGTTTCAAAGATACGCAATCAACACCCCTTGTTATACACTCACTAAATGCTAGTTGAATATACTTCATTCTTCTGAATTAATTTTTTTTAAACGACTACCTTACCATCCGTATACATCAATGAAAGAAAGAATATCGTTTGAGGTAATTAATATAGACGTGGACTAAGTTATCAAACTTACATCTTCACTAGTACGTCTTATCGGGAGAATTCGGCGATGCCTCCGTTGTCTTCTATGTCTTCCATATTTAGCAGAGGACATGGTTGTACCAGTTGCCGTTGAAAATCTAAAACATGGTAATTTTAATGAAAAATAAATTCTTGTTTACATACGAAGTACATCTATCTAACAGCTGTACAAGTAGTATTCTGATGTTAGTGTATTCAGCAAAATCCTGAACAATTCTTAGGACCACTCGTAATTCAGTTTACAATAAGATTATCACGAACCAAGAGTACAAGTTGAGTGAAATAGGGAAAATGACAATTTACAGTTTCATAAGTATGCTACGACGCTTGGTGTTCAAGCATGTGCTTAAATACTGTCTTTAACGCTATTTATAGTGATCATCATCATCATAAGGAGAAACAGTTTGACTAGCTTCGTAGATATATTTTCATATTACTGGGACTACCAAGAGTAATTTCAATCACGGTTTCACTGAACATCACTTAAGGTACAACAAATTTGAACATAAAAAGTTACTCATCGTTCGAGTCTGAAGTTATGTATAGAACAGTTTAATCGTCAAATCTTGAGCCAAGTATACGCGAAAAATTGATGAAAGACAACTGCTTCACACACTTGATAAACCATAAGCCCCAAGAAATGAACGAAAAGACATTAACCAGACTACTTATTCTCATCTAATAATACCCAAACTAAGTGAACAAAGCCTTTTTCACCTATCTAGGCAGCACTGTTTCAACTACAGGCGGCACAGACGACGACGTCAAAGCCAGCCAGAATCGAAAAGACAGCAAGACAGACTTTCATTAGCCTGAAACCAGTGTGAAGATCTTCTGCACACAGCATGTGGAAAAAGATCCGAATTTTCAACACCAACGTCAAGTCAGTCCTTCTATATGGCTCAGAGACTTGGCGTGTTACGAAAGGGATTTCCAACAAACTACACACACTCATCAACAACTGCCGCCTACGCTGGTTTCTTACTGAAGATCAGATCAGATGGCCAGAATAATAAGAATAAGCAACAAGGAGCTCTGGGAACGAACCAACCAAGAACCTATCGCTCAACAAATATGCAGAAGGAAGTGGAGATGGATTGGGTATACACTGAGAAGGCCAACTGGGGACATCACGCATCAGGCCCTCGAGTGGAACCCCCATGGGAAGCGACGAGTTGGTTGTCCGAGGCGAAGGTGACATGGAGGAGATCGTGCGAGGAAGAAATGAGAGCTTCTGGGCTGTCGTGGAGTCAGGTTCAAAAGGAACAGAGTTCACTGGAGACGTGCTACTGAAGCCCTATGTTCCATTAGGAACCCAAGGGACAAATAAATAATCAATAAATGAACGAAACAAACATTTAGGTACTAGGATTTCTACAGATAACACAAAAAGAAAGCAAGTTTGCATCAGCTTCGCAAGTGAATATGCAGTGGTTTTATAGGTTAAAAGTCAGAATTTATTTATAATATGCCGTTACCAGATAAGCAACTGCAGGAAAATCACGATTTACTCCGATAAAACAGATGGCGAAATGAATAGTTTTAACGAGGTTATGCAACAATAAATGAATTATCGTGTCACATCTAGTCTTACACATATAACTACCTAATCAACAGTATTTTGTTTAAATAAAAAAAAAGATGAGAATAATTGAAAGTATTCATGAGATTCAAAACTGACAACTGCACCTTCTTAAAATGAACGCTATAATGCCTATAAATAACTTTGAAGAAATTCGCGGTTTAGTATGAAAAATATCCTTTAAAAAGTCAACTCTAGTGTGATGGAAACTGTAAACAGAAATATATTTAATGTTAAATTAAAGCTCTGAAATGATCACTGTGAAATGTACCAAGTTATATTCATAAAGCATTCAAGGTAGACATACCGACTCGATTCATCTTCTGAATCAAAAAAGCTTGTGGATTCCAAATCAGAACTCATCATAGACGAAGAAGTTTCGTAATTTTGAATTCTTTGACCAAGTTTTGCCAAACGTGAACCTGAAAACAATAGATAGTTATTAACCCATAATAAATCAAGAACATAAATTCAAATTAATTCAAATTTCCACAGAATGAACTCATATACAACAACAGCTTGCTGCTCATTAAAAGAAACCAAAGGGAATCTATTCAAAGGGTAAAGTGTGAAGTGGTGAATAAGCTATTTATGAAGCGACAAGGCCTATTTCCAACCAATCATGTCGGTACTCAGTCAAACACACAAACGGCGCCAATTCACTGGGCCAAACACAAATATTAATGGTGAAATACATCATTTTTTACTATAGTGCTTATGTAGACACCTTACAAATTCGAACAGAATCTGAGCCGATTAGCTATACGTAATCGAGTTCCAACTAAACGAGAAATTACCAGTAAATGTGAAAAAAAGCATTTGTCTTACTGTCTGACAGATTCCAACTTCTCAAACCTTGAAACGAATTTGTCTACCTTTTTCTAGTCATCGTCAGTGATGACATCAGTCCCGAATATACAGAGAATTCTACATAGCAAAATGTTGTCGTGTAAAAATCAAGAATAGGAAGAATGAGAAAAACCATAAGTATATGCCTGACTGATTCCACCATCATCGTTAGAAGTATGGTGAAAGACGATAACACTCGGTGCAATAACACATCTTCGCCAGCCGATACCATATTCTGCATGTATCAGCTGTGAAACAACGCTACCTTTCTGTTGAAAAGTATAATTATTTCCCGGGAAACCTACTAAATGAGATGTAGTATTTAACAGTTATTTTAGTTATAGTCATATTGTTTTTCTTTATTACTTTTGCATTTCACTAGATTTAATCACGTTCATTACTACTGCAACAAAGTGACTTACCATTAGTATAAGGGTTTTTATATGATACCGTCGTTGATTGGACCGAATTGATCGGTCTCTATTAGCATATGGGCTCCTATGCGGATGCCTCGATATTGCCAGCAATCTAATTATGTTAATGATGGAACGCACGAAATGCGCATCCTGGATTCCACTGCTAGCCACGATCCATCACTGACTTACTATTACTCTGATTACTATAAACCAGTCTACTGTCCACTGTCATTAATGCCAAAAAAGATGCTATAACCATCGTGTATTTTAAATCTATTATTGTAGATCACCCTAGCAACTAAGAAATTCGTTAGTGTTATCTGTCCTCTGTCTTTATTACCAATGGTAGTGTTCGGGATAGAGGTCCAATTGGCACTAATTTATGGCCGCACCGTAACAGCCTAGTGTTTTGGTTCCCAACACCCAAGCAATGAAAACGATGAGTTAGGATGATTGAAAGGCAGGAATAATGAAATTTGGAACCTATGGTTCAACCTACTTACAAAAGTTATCAGGGATTAAAACATCAGCAATGTTCACATCATATGCAGAAAATCCTCCGAAAGCATCGACGATCGAACACTTCTAACACAGCCTTGCTCCCCACTTTCAGTTTTCATACCTCACAACCATGTCGTATGACAAAGCAAGCTATTACGTAATATACTTTGTCCTTGATATTTGTACAAATACTCCGTCTGCAACACAGCTAGTGTAATTCGGTAAAACATATTAGGACCGAAGTGACATTAGAGTGAGAGAAGTGGCCAAAGCTTCTTATCGGCAAAGCACAGTTTCATTACAAACCAGTCACAGAACAATCTTAAGCATTTACGAACTGAGAGAAAGTTTTAAACATTCGCAAACGTAGCTCAGTATGCTTAGAAGACTTCGGTCGATAAACTAACACGGTTACTATGTCAGCATACTTCAAGTCGGTTAAAAAACCTATGATGAGATCAATTTCACAGAAATTGGAGGGTTTAATCGTGAAGCTTTTATTATCATTATAGGGGGCATCATCAGCACAAACTCCAGGAAGAAAACATCCTCAGAAACGCAGCTTCATTAAGGTTGCTTAGTAACAAATGAGAGTAAAACCCTCCTAGTGGTCACCACTCCGTGTAATTACTTTTGAAAAGAGTTTACTACACGTTCCAAGCTATGAGTGTTCGAGCAAATCAGTGAGCATTAATTGGCAACTTACGAGGTTAACATGAGAACAAAGTGCTGTGAAGGGTCTAACAGATGGGCATAAGGTAGGATAATAAGCAAGCTGGAATTCGCGTTCACAGTCTCTGCGAGGAAAATCCTATCCCGCTTCACATAGTGGGGGTGCTTCCACAAAAGTGAAGGGCAAAAGCTAATATCCGGCGCTTACCACCCGAGTGGAGATTGAGGGTCCACCTAGGGAAGCCAAAAATCCTAAACCGACGGTGCACATGTGATCCAGGTTCCAGAAAGAAAATATGGCGTATGAACCTATCTTGGTCACCAGCAACCAATGGAGCTGCTGATACGGCTCCATTACCTAGTGAATTAGACATCAAGTCAAAGGCACGGGAAAGGTCCCCTAACGTGACCCAGCTGCTTTCATCTGGGCACCAAGGCAGGCTCCAACACTCCACACAAAATATATTACACTATAAAATGAAGCAATTAACCAAATACCCTGCGAATACTCGAGCTCTCCATATTACGAACTCTATAACCGATTGTTCAATTGATTTCCACTATACTGTTTTTGTTATTTTTACAAACGAACTGCATCTTTTTTATGATTAGCATTTTCGCTTTTGTCCTCACCTTCACCTCACTCAGTTGCTCTCCATTGCTTAAACTCCTGTTCTGTCTGCACCGTCTTGAGTCGCTAAACAGATCTCCTCATAAAGCTGTCCCACAGTGCGACATCTGACACAGCTATCCTTAAACCACACGCGTACCATTTAAGCTCGCCACCCTCAACGTTCGCACCTTGATGCATAATGGCGACAACAGACAGGTTTGGCTACGACTCTGGAAAGCCTTACTATTGATGTATGCCGCATCTCGGAGACCGCAAACAAGATCTCAGTGGAGTACTTCGAATAGGTTCTTCATCTGTCAGCTCGAAAGTATGTTTCATGTGCGATTGTCTAGGAACCCCGCAGCACCGACAACCGGTCTCGCTCGTGTCGATGTCGCACTTAGCACTCGAGTCGAAGCTGTATTACTCGACTGGATCTCCATCGACAACTGAGGATGTACAGCGACTCTGTGTGTTCAACCATCGTTATCTCTATAGGATTGGTCTTATCCGACGGTAACACCATGTAAGTAATTCTGATACAACAGAGTGTTTCGGCATGATAGAGACCGTCATGCAATAAATAAGGTCATCTAGAAATACCAGCTTCGATGGTTTGGACATGTATTATGCATGTCGTCCTAATGGCTTCCATACCATCACTGTTTGCTAGCTCTGAGTTGGGCCTTGAACTGGATTGAAGAAGCGGAAGTGGGAAGAGAGGTCATTGTATGATGTGGTACTGTGGGATGAAGGTTAGCTGTAACGGGTTAGCATCTGTTGGAGCATCATGACTCCCTGAGTGGGATTGGAGAGATCATGCAACTTATTGGTTGAGACGTGATCAGAAATAGCTCGGAATGGAAAGCGGTGGCGGTCATGCTGTAGCTTCCTTCTGTTTTCTGTTTCTGAAAAGTAATGAATGTTTTGTTTTGAATGTATCTTATTGGACTGCCTTTCTAAACATTCTATTTTTGTTGTTTTTCTCTTTAACCCATTCTCTTGGCTTTACGTCTTTATAATGTCACATTATTTTGTGTGGTGCATATTTTGGTCATCTTGCTGTACCATGTCTGTTCTGATAATAAATAATGAGATCACTGTCCACCTTCCGCACCCTTAATTTTTAATCTCTGTTGACATCTCTTGGTCAGCATTCCCATATTATCTTTGGTTCCTTCCAGCTACGCAGCTCTTGACCACGACGAATAGCTGGGAACTTGACGTGGTGGTCGCGCATGTGTTTCAAAATGATTCAACGGAGAACTCCTGGTAGAAAGTCTGTCCCGTAGAGATACTACGATATCAGAAACGTCATTCGGATAGTGGTAACACGAAAAGCAGTTACCACTGTAGTGTAAATTGCTACACTATGATGGGGGACCGAGCGTGATGTTGTACTGTTGGCTAGATGGGGGTGTGACAGGAATAAGACGTTTTTCTTGGATGACCAGTAGTACGACGCTGCTGCTTCTGCTTTAAGATTGAAAGAGCTGGTTCTTGACGAAACCTTACCTCGAATACAGAAGGCCCATTTGGCACTTGCCAACTTGCGTCATCTCTGGCCCCAACTGGTGAGATATTCGTCTGCCTATCAAACGACGAGTATACTGAGCTGCAGTTTGTTTTCTCCTGCCACAAGACTGTGAGACAACCGTTAACAGTAGATATTAAGTGGTTACAGGTCTTTAATCGAACGCGTCTTCGTAGCATTGCTCGCGCAATGTGAAGTCATCATGTGAGCCCAAAGTACAGGTTAGGCGAAGCTTACTAGACAAGGAAGAAAAGTCAGTCAATGAAGTTGAGAAACTTATTCGACTGAGGTGGCTTCAACATGTGCTCCACATGATGAACAACCACCAACCTCGACGTCCAATGGTACAAGAAGTTGGATTAGATTGGAAAAAGGCTGATGGTCACAAGGCCAAGACATGATCTCAAAGTATGAAATTTATAACTGTTCGTTTCAGTCATGCAAGGAGGTGTAGAGTACCTCACTGGGATCCCAGAGACATCAGGAATCAGTGGTTAAGGACTCTTTGAAATCCAGGGGAGTCAGTAACAATGACGCAGATGTGTTCACTCTTCGATGTCTTCTTATGCTTGGATTTCTTCACTAACCTCCATTTTTAAATTGCTTCTCTTTCCATACACCTTTATTTACTTTTATGTTAGCCTTTTTCTATCCATATGTTTTTTGTATGCTGCTGTGAAGTGTGGTAAGTTGAATCAATGCACTTGTGTGTGAGGTTTTATATTGATTTTATATCTGTCTTACTACAAATCTTGACAACGATTTGAGTTCTCAGAGTAATATCATTAGTGTTTTGTAACTGCGTTCGAAACTACACTTCCAGGCTTTCAATACTCACACCCTGCGTGAAACCGCCCAACAAGCTTTGCTAGCCAAATCTTCAGCATCTCAGGCGATGGATGTGCGCTAAGTTTGTGAGACACGCTTACAGGACTCCAGTGCGGTTATTTGCTTGACCTCACCCGGCCGTCATGGTGAATCCATGAAATTCACCCTCCAAGCTTCCGGAGATTCGATGCCATTTCTTGTGTCCTCGTAGGTGTAGCATTAAGTGCTAAGGCAGAAAATCCACCGCTGGACTAGATCCCAGTCACCTATGTGTAAGTGAACGTCACAGTGAGGAATAAAAAGAATAGTGAAACTCCCCGTTGTCCCTTTGTAATCTCCCCTTACGCACCCACTGACTGCAGTTCAGATGAAGTGAAGGATGAGTCCTACCGAAAACTGTCTAGCCTCCTTCTGAGAGCCAAACGTTCAGATGTGGTTGTTATTGCAAATGATTTCAATGCACAAGTGGGTAGGTTAAGTCAGGCAGAAAGGTACTCAAGTGGTACATTTGGTATCCCCCCCCCCCGAATGGACAGGTAAGGGTGATCGCCCGCTACAACTATGCTTAGACAATCATTTATTTCTGGTCAGTACGAACTTCAGGCGTGAAGAGAGACACTGCCTGACGTGGCATCCACTAATCTCAACTCAGCCGTGGATACAGACAGGTCACATTGTTATCAAGTATTCCTGGAGAGTGGGTGAAAGATTTCCGCTCTTTGTGGAGCACGCGTTTGGACAGCGACCACACGTCGGTTCGAGTATGCAAACATCTTCGCCCAAACGTAAGTAGAAAAATCATAGCAACAAGATCATTGTGAGTGCAGCACGACAGTGAGTGCACTAAGGATGCTTTCAGTGAGAAACTGACTAGATGCCTATCGGAAGAGAACACCACCCAGCGGGAAGAAGTTTGGCGCCAGTCTGCAGTTAAAAAAGCAATGGAGACCATAACCGACTCTCAAAGAGTGGTTCAAAAATAGTCAGCAGATATCAGCAACTTCTTATGAATTAATGGATGCATGTGAACGCATCTCTCCAGGCTTCGAGTACAATGAAGAGCGGAAGCAACTCAAATGTAGACTGACAAAAAGTTTACGCAATGACTGCAAACAGTGGTGAGCACCGAAGACTAAAGAGAAGGAAAAGGTAGCGGTGATAGATAGCACTAAGTAGCTAGTCAGGAAACTGGGACGAAACCGTCAGGAATAGTTCAACTGATCTACAGCTACCATCCTGTTACTCGCCATCTAGTCAGATCCTGAATGGATGTATAAGACTGTCAACAATTACGGAATTCGAGAAGGTAGTAGGTAACCTGAAACGACGAGGAGTAGCAGGACCAAACGGACTAGTACCAGAGGTATCTAAGGGATAGGGGTAGGGAATTATTGGTCAAATTAACTAAATTGTTAGCTCGTGTATGGGAGAATCAGATGTGACCCCCTCTGGCTGCTCTCAATCATTAATGGTCTTATTCTTCAAAAGGGAGAGAAGTCCTCTTGTGACGACCACAGAGGAAACAGTCTGACGAACATATTGACTAAGATCTTAGGTTCGACAACAATTGGATGTCTAAGCGCGGCTTGCGAACACCAAACTCGAGAAAACCAGGTAGGCCTTAGACTTAGCCGTGAGTGTATCGACCAGATATTTAATCGCCAGGTTCTGGAAACCAGGCACACTTAACGACGCCCAACAGTGGCTGCATTTCTCGACCTGAAAGCTGCACTCGACTCCATCAACAGAGAGATCTTACGGCAGTGTCTCTCACTGAAAGAGGTGCCAAGTATGTCACTTGACTTAAGGGTGTGTACTCAAACACCCGTGGGAGTGTTAGAGCCTATGGTGAGTTGCGTATGACAAGTGGTGTGTCAAGGGTATCCACCATCTCCACTCTTATTCAACTTTATAACAGACATACCTGTGGAGGTCTTCCGGTAACCGTCTGACTGCACAGAGACTGGACTTATCACAGTAAACTCCTTAGTAGACCTATAGTGTTCAAACGGAATAGTTCTGTTAGGTGAAAATGCTAACAAGATTCAGAGTTTTATGGACACCTTGAGTGGCGAATTGAAAACGTTTGAGATGCGTTCGTCGTCATCCAGATGCAAACTGTTGCTCCAGGATCGGTCTTCAGGGGTACCCCGTCGAACAGTAGGAAGTGAAATTGTCTAGCGCGTCGACTACTTCAGTTATCTAGGAAGTTGGGTCAGCCCTAGTGGGTCAGGGACCGACAAAACTCCTGCATGGATACGAAGAACTCGCTTGACTTTCCCCAACTTACTGACATGGTTCAGGATTGATCTCACTGGCGTAGATGTACCCACATATTATACTCATCGCAATCGTCATACTGAATTCAGTATTTTCTTACTCCTTGTTATCTTAACACAACTTTCTATGAATTTAGCTGCTTTCGTGTCTTTTTCTTTATTTTTCATCTTAGTGGTTTGTCGTTTGATGTGAGTATATAAGATGTGACAACTTGGACCGTAGCACAATAATACCTGGTTCTATGTTAATATTGATGATGATGTACGATGCATTATACTGCTTCTGCTGATTGCAGTATGTAAACAAATCTACAAAATATGAGGTAAATCTCAATTTTCAAGTTTATATGCTCTAAATTCAACCCAGTACACCCTTACGTACTCAGATGAGTCACATTTATTGTTAAAGTTTATGGTAATACCCGATCGCCATGACTGAAGAATACTGAGCAGGATTTAAACGCAAGAATAGTTACTTGAAATTCCAATATCCAAGTCAGTGAACAGCACTTTCAATCGCGCCTTTTACGAAGATCATACAAATAAATATAAATGAACTACTACTGAAGTGTTAAAACGCAGTTAGTTTGAAAAGCTTAGCCTTTGATGAATACTATCTCAGTGAAAGACTGCACTGAGTACGTATATCACTTAGATATACCCTAAGTATGGAATATCTCCACCTCTCATTTAGCTATTAAATTAATGAATATTTTGTAAATGCTTTGAAAATGCCACAAACTTATAAATCTAACGTGTACAATACCTACGATCCCAAACATTTTGGTGAGTTACTTAACTCTCAGTAGAAAATAGAAATTCAAGATTTACCTCATTTGATGATAATTAACTTTTCTTGGTGCATATCAATCATTTGAGGTTTCAAGTTAAGGGTATAGTGAAACTAATACAAATAATCAAGAAAACTGCATGAAAATTCGACTACTATCAACCACTGTTGAATTTTAAGGACAGACAGATAAGAGATTGTAGGATTTATATAATTTTATCTTCAGTGAATATCTTATTTTTTACCACTAAGTTCGTACTTATAAGGAGTGAAATGAGGCTGCATTTACTGATATCCATTTACACTAATACATATAAAAATTCGTCTTAATATTCATAGGTTTAGTAGATAAGCTACAAACTAATTACGCAAAACTAATCAATTTCAGATAAAATTAACCGAAATGTTTCTTTCGAGTTAAAATTACCACTGCTTACCGTGTTTGTAATTGTTGAAATTTTTCAAAGGAGGAACACGATCTGTAGAAGAAAGTTAAACAAGCATTAAACATATTCGTAATAGGTCGTGGGACTACATACCACGCATTATATTAGGTTAATTTAGCGTTCAGAATAATCTTAAGAGCAAGTAAAAAACGTCTTCACCTATAACAGACTTAGCTAATACAACCCAGTCGCTTCTGCCTTTACCATAAAAAAGATAGTTAAATCTTTCCAATTTGCATTCATGCAGCAATTAGGATTTTCAAACGTTTAGTAGCTGCTTTCAATAATCAAACTTTTATTGCAGCTATGTTCAGCACTGAGTAACCTATCAATCTAGTACACGTTTTGTACTATGCTGAGTATCTAAGATCCTGTGGTACTTCTCAATCGTCCAAGAAGATTGTAAGGTGAGAATCAAACTCGTGGATCAGGTGTTAGCAGCTCTTTCTAACCAAAAGGATAAGCGAAAGCAGCTGATGTGCAAAATGACCGTTAACATCAGTGATTAGTGAGAGTGAAAGAGATGAAGACGGTATTAACACAACGTAACGGCCGGTAATTATTTCGACCTATAAATGATAGTGGCAAGGTGACATTTAGTAAAACCATCACCGAAAAGGATAGGTCCCTGATAACCTTTCAAGACAAGCAGCTAGTGTTGGGGGGAACAATTTGAAAAACATTTAAACTAACCTACAGTAACGATTTAATTTCCCAGAATATAATCTGAATCTGTACGGGACATAGATATAAGTTTTCCAAATCTTCTAGAAGCCGAGAAGGATACTTCAAACCTGAAGCAATGCACAGCAGCATGACCTGACGGTTTGCCACCAGAAGTTTATAATGACGTAGACAAAAATTACTGAGCAGGGTAACGGAGGTACAGGCTAGTGTGTATGATAACAAGAGATAGTTCCATCAGACTGGTTTAGATTGCTGATTACTCCATTTCCTAAAAAATAGAAGTCTTCATATAAAAGAAACACAGGAATCAGTTTGACTAACATCGTTTCCACGATTCTATGCTTTATTATTATACAGTGGTTAGTTGTAGCTCGAGAAAAGCGAACCCCAGAAAACTAGCCACTGTCCAAGTTTGGATAAGGGTGCATAAACCAAATCCTCACCCTCCGACAAATTTCAAAACGTTTACACAATTACCTGCGGTCGATACCTGCCATACTCTGCCCTGTCAACCGAGCAGTGTTGTGGCAGTAACCTGACTGTAAATAGAGTACCGGACAACCATGTAACGTTAATCAAAGCTCTCTACTGGAACTGACGCAGTCGTGTAGGAAACTTATGGTGAATCGTCCTCTGAAATGACGACAACTAGTGGCGTCTACCTCAGGCGGTCTCTATCCCCGTTGCTTTTCAACTTTGTTATAGACGTGCTAATGAACGCAAGCCTGCGGTAACTGGTTTTCTAAGGATGAATTACTCCCCAGAGGTCATCTGTTTGACTCGGAGTATACAGCCGAAATGGTTGTGTTAGGGGTAGAAGCCAACAAAATCCAGTTTTCTAAAAATCCTCAACAGAAATCTATGTTTGGCAAACATTTCGCAGCTTTCACATGTAAGATGATACTTCAGGACTGGTCGGTAACGACTCTTAGTATAAGGATGAGGTGTGAAGTGGTTGAACATTTTGATCCCTTTGAGATGCATCCGCCCAAAAGGGTTGGTTGTCAGTAAAATCTCAAGAGGGGATATGAAAGGTTGGATAGCAATTTGCCGGTCTGCATCATCCCTGACGCCGATGAGATTTCCGACTGCCGAATAAAGGACGAGCATACTGAGCAACATTTCTTGATGTCTTGTTACACGCCCACGTTCCACTACCGTTTACAACAAAAGATGTGAAGAGGCAACGGGTTTTGACGAAAGGTGTCTTCGAAGCATTGCTCGTGCCTATTGGGATCACCCCATACGAAATGTTGAGGTTAGATATAGAGTAAGTACTAGATACGAAATGCAGATTATTTGGTGAGCTTTGGATTCTCTATCGGCTAAGGTGCATGCCGAACCAGAACTTGCCTCGACCTTAAATGTTAACCGAAGTATGATTAGGTAGGAAGAAGTGTAAGAAGGTGGGACCGAAGCGTGGCACCAGTCGATGTTCTTGACTTTTGGTGTGAGACATGCATGGAGTCGTAGGGTGCCTAACTAGGGTAATCAAAGCGACAATAATTAATGATTGACGAGTCTTGGTGACATGGCTCAAAATCGGTCAAAAGCGTGCAGATGCATACAATTTTTGTCATTTCTTGAAGCCTTGAATATTTTCCTCAACCTTCATCTATTCATTCTCTTAAGTTTCATATACCTTTTTCTACCTTAATGTTACTCTTTTTTCCGTCCCCTGATTCTTTGAATACAGCTGTGATATGTGGCAACTTCAACTAACGCACTTCTATGCTCAACGCCGACCCATCCGTCGGAAGAACGAAACCTAGACCGATGGACCACGGATAAAGCTGATGAAAGACAACATACAGCTCTGCAAATAGCTGAAGTAGGATGCATTCCAAACGGAAATCTGGCTTTTTTAATTAACCAACAGCTACTGAACAGTACCTACTTTGCATAATGTGTCATTTCATAATTATAACTTTCGAAGCTAACATCGCGATACAAAAGTTAAGGTCGAAATGACAATAAAAGGGGGACTGGAAAACACTATTCAATGAATAAGGCTTTTTCTAACTAGTACCAGAAACGTAAAACATAGATCCGATATGTGTACTTCTTCCAACTCAGTAAGAGCTAAGTAGCTAGGGTTAACAGAAACGATGCCATTATTTATTTTAAGAAGCAGTGAATGCATGAAACAGGACTTCCAAACTCCTAGGGCTTACCACCGCTATACACTGAGTCTGTTTCAACACATGTATCGCACTCTTCTAATCCATGACCTGTTGTGCCGATGGCATGTTCCTGTTCACTAGGAATTTCGTTTTTTGATGCACCATGTACATTGTCAGGATTTTTGTTGAAACTGAAATGATAAAAATATTTATATTAGAAGGTGCAATGAAGTGATATACTAGTAAAGACTTCAAATAAAACTTTTCCTACTCAAAACTTGAAAGTTAGTGCCTTTATTACAAAATCACGGTTATCATAAACAAAGACAAGACATAAAAACACTTCAAAAGTAGGGATGGATAATACTTCACCCCCAATTCATGATCAGCTACTATCTGGGTATCTAGAACTGTAGCAAAAAGCAATGGACCATATAGATATGAAGGGACAAGAATAATTATGGAATTAAAGTTGTACAGTGATTCGTAGGATATTCCCATGCCTAAGTGTAAAAACTGTGAGACGAGAAAAACCAGACTGATCAGTGATCAGAGTTTCACAGCAAGACAAGACTTTTATAGGCTATTCCTACTTATACATCGAAAACAATGACGGAGTGATCGAAGCAATATTTTTAATTAGCTACGACCAACCTTATTCACCTGTTCATTTCAGTAGTTTGTCTCATTTTTTTTGTCTTCTTAGTTTGTTAATGTAATTACTATCAATAGGTATCCACTTGAAAGAGCCATTCACTTTCTTGTAAACTATTGTATGGTAAGTCATCTAAAATCTTGTATACTTTTTGTTGTCCTTAAATAACAGACCCACGTACTATTTAGCATATTCACTTCTCGAAACGATAAGTTCATAAGTAAATTTGATTTAGGAACCAGTTAATTAACCCATCACCACCATGAACTTGGTATTCTAATATTAACTGTTAAAACTTATAATATTGGTGTAAAGCCGTTGGTTAGTAGGTAATAAATATTTGTCCGCCCAATGATGATAATAATCACTTTTTAATGGTAATGATCACTTTATTCCAAACAACTTGATACAATTTGGAATTCCCAATCTTTGTTCTAGACAACCAAGAGCCGAGGGATACAAACCGGAATATTGAAACTACCCATATCCCAATGAATAGACCAATAAAACCAATGTCACTGGTTTGGTGGTGACTGGCAGTGGGACACACATGTATACCAGTGAGTGGTGCTGTTCGCATTGAGACTCGGGCCTATAACCCACCACTTTAAATTCCAAAATGTTTTTCACTAACCACTGAGTAATGAGTGCTTTATTTTGTCCAACAGTTATCATTTATTTTTTCTTTTACCTTGTAATTTCCCCGTGCTTATTTTACTGAACGAAACTGAATGGTCACTGCTGGAGTAGACACAACTTGTACCGACCCCTGGTATTGCTTTAAGTTTACTTTTGAAGAGATATCTGTAGGATGACCCTATATACCGAGAGAGAAAGAGAGTCATAAAAACAACTGGAAGTTACAAATATACATAAATCCCTGTAACATCCCCAAACGCAACAAAATAACTCAGATTAACCTCAATATTATATGATGCAAAGTATGTTTTCTTATCATACGAAGCTGAATAAGACTTGCATAAACATTGTCCATTCGAACCAGCCTCTAAACGATATTGTCTGTTTATACTACCCCGTACTTCACAAACTCAACAATAAAAGATGCAGTCTTTATGCCTACTAACAAACATTGGTATTTAATTTCACATTCGCAGCATAAAAAAATTAAATATTAATGCAACTCAACCCAGTACATGTCCAGATACTCAGGTGACATTATGAGATGGATCGATAATATGTGGTTGCCAAAAGTCACGAAGGCTGAATAGATTTTAAAATCGAGTGATCAAGCCAATCAGCCAAATCACATTCTCTGAGAACCAACTTTTTCAGTTTTAAAACAACCAGCGTTTAGCACTGTTCTAGTACATCTATGCAAAATTGCGGCGGCACTTCTCTTCGATAAGCACATTAACTAGCTACAGGTACGCAATCAGATATGCACAGAAACCGTGTAGAATATGGCATGGAAGTTCCTGTCTACAGTAAAAAAAAGTGTAACTAACCAGCCACAAAGTGTTCGTATGTCAAACTACAAACCACAACAACTGTATGAAATCTGATCAGATTACATGACTACCCAAACCTGGATGGGCAAATTCGTGCTGAGATCCATAACCCCCTGGCTAACTAGGATGTTCGCATGAACGAGACAGAGTTCCAATATACACCTGAACACAAGATGTTGTGAGACAACACAATTTGGTACGCTATGCGGTATTCCTAGAGTTGGATGTACTAGCTGGGCTACAGATCTCATAGATCAAATTCGATGTGCTGAAGATCTTAAACAGTGGATGATAATGTTTTAGGCAATTGTCTGAAAAAAGGACCCACAGCAGTAAATACACCCGTCTGGAAATCTCCTTCATACGGACTTATTGGAACAAACGTTTGTTTTGAAAGTGTATTACTTCAAAGGTATGATTAAGGTGACGAATTCATGACAAGCTTGAATATGTGTACATTCATACGTAAAACTTCTGAAAACTATGCATAGCTGCCAGAACTTAGGTAAAAGCAAATCAATTAACCCATCACCAAGTCAAGAATGCTGTACAAGATACCACTTCTTACACCTGAAGGTGTCATGGTAACATGGAAATGTAGTGTACGCTGGAGGATATGGTGGCAGAGCAAAAAATGCACGAAACCATGGACTTTTGACTCCAAGAAGTTGGAAAACTTTCAAGCCAGTACGCGATGGTAACCAATGTTACTGGTGAACCCCTTGTTTGTTGTCTCCTCCAAATAATTGACCGCCGTTCTGGGATACACTTTCTGGTCGATAATAGGGCAAATACAAGCAACTCAAGACTTTCCGGTTCCGATATCCATTAAAGCGTTACGCACATGCATTGCGATGGTGAGTTACTATCCGAAATGGACACATATATTAGCTACATTAACCAACCTGCTTAAAAGTAAACACAATCAAGAAGTAAATCTTCTCAGCATTGTAGTCAATGCTTCTAACAATGCTATTGGAGCTGTTGCAGTAGCTTTCGGATAGCACTTGAACTTTACTTACTTTCTTCTCCCGAAAGCTATCCGCATATGAAACGCAGCCAAGTACCTTTAGTTGTGAACTGTTTCATCATCATCATCATCATCATCATCATCATTATCAACATAGGACCAGGCATTACTGCGTAACGGTCCGAGTTGCCACACCTCATATCAGCACATCAAGTAAAAAGGTAGTGAGGTGAAGGATGAAGATAAGTGAATGCAGTCAAAAGAAATATAAAGTACGAGAAGAAAGGAAAGAGGAGTGACAAAATAGTGAGATTCGGTATAGCGTTGTTAAGATGAGGATAATGTGTGTATACATCTGCGCCACTGACTTCGGTTCTGAGCCATATCACCTAGGGTCTCCAACCACTGGTTCCTCTTGTCCCGTGGACCCCAACCACCTAGTCTGCATCGTCCTACATGGCTTAAACCAACAGTCAGAGACTTCATACATTGGTGCCATGTTTTAGTCTGGCCACCTCGGGCCTTTTTCCAGCCTGAACCCACCTCAGCCAACATTGTGTGACGAGGCAATCGGTGACTAGGCATACGTAGTACGTGTCCCAACCATCTCAGTCGATGAAGGTTCACAACCTCGTCGACTGACTTACCTCTTCTCCCTAAAACTCTACACCTAACTTCTGCATTACTCACATGGTGACACCACGGAATACGTCCTATACTACGAAGGCAACGGTGGTCAAATACCTGTAACCTTCTCATGTCTTCCACTTTCAATGGCCATGTTTCACAGCCATACAGTAGAACAGAGCGGACTGCTGTGCAGTACACGCGACCCTTAATAGACAAACGAATATCACGGCGGCGCCATAGGTGGCGCAAATTGGCAAAAGCCAATCGAGCCTTTTGTATCCGTGCAGAAATCTCATCGGCAACTAACCCACCGGGTTGATCCTACTTCCCAGGTAAGTGAAGTGGTCAACACACTCAACCACTTCACTCTCTATTGTTAACCGCGGTACCGCTGAAGACCAGTCCTGGAGCAAAAATTTGCATTTGGGTGGTGAAAATCGCATCCCAAACATTCTCAAATTCCCACTCAAAGTGTTCAGAAGACTCTGCATCTTGTCAGCGTCTTCACCTAACAGGACTATGTCATCTGCATATTCTAGATCTAAGGAAAATTCACCTGTGATCCGGTCAACGTCTTTGTAATTAGGTGACGAGAGGGAAACCTCCATAAGAATATCTATGATAAAATTAAATAAGAATGGGGATAGTGGGCATCCTTGACGGACACCACTTGATGAGTATAGCTCCCTGGACAACTCACCATAGGCTCTAACATGCCCACAAGTGTTCGAGTAGAGAGCTTTCAATAAGGTGATGTACTTACTAGGCACGCCTTTCAGTGACAGACACTGCCATAAGACTTCTCGATCAACGGAGTCAAATGCCGCCTTCAGGTCGAGAAATACAGCTATTGTCGGGCGTCTGTAAGCATGCCTATGTTCCAGGACCTGGCGCAGTGTGAATATTTGGTCGATACATCCACGGCCAGGTCTAAAGCCTGCCTGGTTTTCTCGGGCTTGCTGTTCCCGAGCTCCACTCAGGCGTCGGAGAATTATAGAACTTAGGATCTTAGACACTATGTTTGTCAGGCTGATTCCTCTGTGGTTATCACAAGAGGACTTCTCGCCTTTCTTGAAGACTGGGATGATCAGTGACTTAGACCAGTCGGAGGGGATCGTATTTGATTCCCATATACTGGCTAACACTTCCGTTAGCCTGACTAAGAGAACTCTACCACCATTCTTGTATACCTCAGCAGGTAGTCCGTCTGGTCCTGCTGCCCTTCCCCGTTTCAGGCTACCTACCGCTTTCTCAACTTCTTCTAGTGTTGGGGGACCTGTCTCTATGTCCCATTCAGGGTCCGACTGGATAGCGGGCAGCGCAATGGTGGCTGGAGGCCAGTTAAACTGTTCCTCAAAGTGTTCTGCCCATCGTCCCAGTCGCCTTCCCTGCGAGTGAATCGCCGATCCGTCCTTCTCCGCTATAACCTCACTAACTGTTGTTGACCATTTCCCCCCAGTCTCCTTA